AAGCCAATCAAAGGGCGTTGCCACCTCCTACGGGATCCAGAGGAGCAGCAGGAGGGAGCTCGAGCCGTGGAGCAGCCGGGGCTAGACCGTCAGGTAGAATTCTCGTGATGGGGCGATCTCAGGCGGAGACGGAGGGCTTAGTTGAGGAGGAGATAGCAGGTAATCCTTTTTCTAGCCTACCCTTGTCTTTAGAACACATCTTGATCCTTGTTGCTTTTGTGTGTTGCCTTGTTTCCTACGTTGTCTTTTGTGTTGCCTTGTCTTCTATGTTGCATGAATCTCTTGGTCTCAATTGAAAGCCTTTTGAAGAGATAATTATTCACCTCTAAAATGAATCATGCTTGTGTTGATTCCTTAGCCTTCATATATGTTTCTGTAACTCATCCTTCTTGAGTCACCTAAATTTATCCAAGTGTTCCTTGAATTTAGAATAGAAAAACCCATAGAATTCCTTCTTTTGTAACCTAAAAGACCAAGTAAATTTTAATTTGTAACCCCTAAGTTTTGAACCCAAGTATTCCTTCTTTTAATTTGATCATCGTTGTTGTCGGATTGTGATCCTTTCCTTGTTGAGTATGGTTTCATATCTTCGTTGTGATCCGTTGATTGATTCCTATGATGGTGTTGTGTGTGTGGCTGTACCTGGATTGCACAATTAATGGAATGGGACATTAGTCACCAAGGTACGGCAGTGGTCATCGTGGTAGCCATGATGTGATTATGGAGTTTATGACCTGTGTGTCGGGTTCACGTATTTCTTGGGAGGCATGTGTTGCCAAAGTGTGTGATCGGTACCCTCGTGTACTATGAATTGGTGGAAATTGATGGCGGTTGTCGGCGGATGGGGAAGACGGTCCTCGGAGGGCTAAGGTTGGACTTGGCTGTATAGCGGTCCTGGAGGTAATGGTTGGAACTAGCTATAAGGTTGGGGGTAGCCATAAGGTTGGAACCGGGCATAAGGAATAATTATTGTATTTGTGACATGTGTTTTCACGAAGGCATGTGTTGCCGATGTGTGTTTCCTTATCCGTGACGTGTGATGACACAAAGGCATGTGTTGCCAATGTGTATCTTTATTCTCTTGTGTCAAGCATGTCGGGTGATATTCTACTGAGTGATGGTAGAATATACCTTGAGCCTTACTTGTGTTGTCGTTGTTACTTCTTGATGTCTTGGGATGTGTTCCCTTATTCTTGTTGAGAGTGTTATAGAGTCTTTATGGTTGACTTCTATCGTTGACTTTGAACTTATATATACAGTATTCCGTTTCGAAATGATTTTGCAATAAACTATCTATCTATATATGCTATTGACGTGTATTGATGGGTTACCAGCATTATTCGATGACCGGACGTCGTCCCATTTATTTATGTGTTTTCAGGTCCCGAGTAGTGGCGAGCGCGGTATAGAGATGGCTAGTGTAGTTTCCCTCAGACTCTGTTTAGTTTTGTTATGGGCCTGTGTGCCTCTTATGATGAACATTAGATTGTTGTTGGTTTGACCTTGTCTCTTGTTAGACTTCTAGACTGTGATGTGATGATGTTCTTGCATGTGTGTTCACCTTAGTGTGGACGTGGCATAACAATCTTCGTTTTCCAGTTTTTATATAGTTAGACTTCCGCTATGTTTTGCTTATATTGTGATTAGCTTATCTTGCTTATTTAAGTTTAAAATGACATGGAAATCGGGGGTGTTACAGGGGTACGTATCCCCGTTAATCGTGAGATAGGTTTCCAAAAGGCCTTGGAATCTAAGCATATCAACCAACTCCAGAGAGAATTGGTCGGGTTCGTGTGCTTTACCTCCGATCACCGTGTAGTCGGCGTCATTCCATTCCGGTACTCGGGTACCGACGGCCTTCTTTGGCATTGATTGGAGTGGTTACGGTTGGGGTGGTTTTCCGGTGACTTTTCCGGTGGAAGTTCCGACGAGAATTCCGGCAAGACTTCCGGCGTGCGCAGCGGACGGCGGCTTCGGCGAGGGTTTCTTGTGCTCGGCGCGGTTACGATGGTGGTGTGGTGGCTGGCCGGTTTGGCGACGGGCGACGGCTGGGTGGTGCGCGGGTAGCGGTGGCGTGTCCGGGGGTAGCTGCTCGGGTTGGCGTCGCGGTGGCTGTGGCGTTCTACCCAGGTGGCCTGCGTCGCGGCGGGGAGTGGGGGCAGCGGGTCTCCGGCAGGCGCTGGCTGGGCGGTCGACGGTGGCGCGACGGCAGGAGGTTGAGGGCTTTTGGTGGTGGCGGCGTTGATTCGTCGAGAGGGAGGAGGGAGAGGGAGAGAGAAAGAGAAAGTGGGAGGAAGAAAAAAGGAAAAGGGTTTTTGATTTGGGGATTTTGGGTTTTAGGGATTTGGAGGGGGTTAAGAAGGTTGTGTTCCCTTGGCATTTCAAGAAGCATTGGTGGTCTAATGGTTAAGTGTTATGTTTTGAAAATGGGAGGTCTAAGGTTCCATTTCTAGTAGCTACATTAGGTCATTTTAGTGTACCATTATGCTTTTGAGGGCTTCCTATTGTTCGTTCGATTCGGGATGGCAAGTGCTCCGATTAGGTGGGCTTCCTATTGTTCGTTCGATTCGGGGTGGCAAGTGCTCCGATTAGGTCTTCTCGTCGTATTCTTTGGTTTCACCAAGTGTTGGGTTTGGGATTTGTAGATTATAGAAGGTGTGGATGTTAGTCCTTTACTTAATCTGAGGGGCAGTAGTCAGAGGAATTTAAGCTGATTGAATTAATTAACTTGTCTTTTATTTAAAGGTATGAAAACTTCTAAATAACCGAACTAAATAAACGATTCTTCTAAAAGGGTGGTTTACAAGGATTCGTAGTATATCCTAGACAGAATTCCTCTTCCGGATTTTCTTCCAGTTGATTTGTGGGGTCCTCGTCTCCTAGAGTTACGTTTTCTGCGTCGATTCTGACTTCGGCTTCGAGGTCGGCCTGTGTAACACCCCGAAATTTTTCAATTTTTAAGACTTATATAATAAAGGTAAATTCTCATTAATTCCCAAAAATATAATATAAGAGTATGGGGTGCTATGCCACACCTGAGCTAGAGAACTCAGGTGCACAGGCTAGCGATCTAAAGTCCTTAATAATGTCAATACATAAGCATGGCACGCAGGCCGAAAGGGAACTATCTACTCTATGCTTCCAACCTCTAGCGCGCTCCAGTGTCTACTCATCCGTGCCTGAAAGCCAAATATATCTGTTCGGCGAGAGATGCTGGTAACCCACTCCAACGCGTTGAAATACATTATAGATAGATATATATAGATATAGGAAAAATCATTTTGAAGCAGGAAGACATATACTTAAGAGACACTAGTTTTAAAACCGGGAATAGACTCAGCAAGTAGGGACAAACATATCAAACAATGATAAACAGTTAAGTAGAGATAACATCATAAGGAATACACAACTAAGGTCATAGATCACTTTTCAATTCAAACACATCATCATTCAATCATCATTCACATCACATAATCATTGATGGCGTCACGGGACCAATCGCATGCCCCGAACATGAGGGTTAATGCTTATAGCATTAACACGGCCCCGCAGCACCCTACCTCAGTACCGTGGTACGAGGGGAGTTGATCGCAACCAACCCTTTAAGAACCGCTGACGAACTCAACGTCGGACCACGATCCGACACACCGCTGACGCACACAGTCGGTGGACTGCGATCCCCTTTACAAGGGGGGACTTACGACCCTACACACCGTCGATGCGCACAGTCGGTGGACCATAGTGGATCAAGCCCGGCTTACCACTGAGCTATACTCAGTCGATGGGCGAAGATCCTCGGAGACTCTGCCCCTACACACCGCTGTCCCACCATTCGGTGGATCGCAGCCAGCCGTAGCCCTACACACCGCCTGATTACTCAGGTCGGTGGACTACAGCCTTCCTCGGCTTATTGGCCCTACACACCATCCTGGCGCGTTCAGGTCCGGTGGGTCATAGCACCGAGGCCCATATTTGGACTTGTAGTCCAAGAAGTGTATCAATTTGGCCTTAGCCACTTCTGAGCCTTAGCTCAGGAACAATCCATTGGCCTTCAGCCCCTTCCGAACCTTCAGTCCGGGAACAATCCATTCGGTCTTCAACCGACTTCCGAACCTTAGTCCGGGAACCACCCAATTGGCCTATAGCCAAAATGAGGGATCATGCAACACATAACACGTAGGAGCACGTAATAGCACATTAGGAGGGGAAAGACATATAAATAAACTTACGTGTGCTCAGTCACATACTAAGAATAATTCCTAAGGGCTCATACAACTTCCACCTAGGTCCACGGTTACCAATTCAACTAGCATGCAATTCCTAAGACTCTTTTATCATACGAACGGTACCCGAAACATCAAACGAGACTCAGGCACGACAAACGGGGTCCGTTGGGACACCACGGGGGATGGGGAACATCAAACGGGGAAGCCGGGGACCCGGGGTGGGGTACGGGCCAGCGGGTAGCTGGTGGGTGGGGGTCACCCGCCGACTGCCCGCCGTAGGGCACTATTCCGGGCAGCGGGTAGCCGGCGGGCACCTTCGTGGAACCCGAAACCATGCTTAGACACTTTTAAACGCAAATAACGACACCACGTAAGCAATTAACGGATCAAAAGCAGGAATCATATAGGACTTATCCTATTACGACTTCTAAATGCAAATAACACCCGAGCATGCGAATTCCCCCCCCCCCCCCCCCCCCCCCCGAATATAAATCAAGAACATCACAATACAAATTCCCGATCCAATCTGGGGCTCTAATCCCACCCAAATCATCAAGAACATATTTTATCTTTAACATCAAGAAAATATCAAGATCCGTCAAGAATCATCATATCATAATCAATAGGGATGTGGGCCCATGGACTATGGTGGACCTTTCTTAGTTGATTAATGGGTTTTTAATTCTCTTTTTAGGGTAAGTGATTAAATATTTGGTTAGGGTTAGGGGTCGTAACACGGGGTGTTGCAGCCTGGGTGCGGCTAATGACGAATACCTATCCAAGGGCCCCATAATTCCCCCGGTTATTTGCGTTTCCTTGTTGGGCCATGACCGTAGGTCGTGCGCTTGGGGATTGAGTGCACCGGAAGGCCTTATGTCCTTCTCCCCCGTAGTTGAAGCATTGCAGGGCGTTTCCGATGCAGTCCTTGCCCCTATGGTCCTTATTGCATCTTCTGCAAAGGAATGGTCTTACGTTGTGTTCGTTGTTCCTTATGGACGATCCTTGATTAGGTGGGTTAACCGTCCTTGTGTTAGCGTCGTTTCTTGCTGTTTTCACAGGCGGTCCCCCACTTCCGGTATTCCTCTTGCGGGTCTGTTCCTGAACTCCTCGTTGTAGAATTTGGATCCGGTAGAGTTTGGCGGCCCTGGTGTAGGCCTCGTTAAGGGTTCTGGGTTTACTTACGATTAGAGCCTTTCGAGTTTCGAAGTTGAAGCCTGTCACAAACTTCTCTATCTTGGTCGTCTCTGTAGGCACCAATTCAGGCGTGAAACGAGCTAGTTCAAGAAATCGATTGTGGTACTCCATGACCGTGGCCATTTCCTGTTTTAGGTGGAGGAATTCCTCATACATGGTTGCCCTTATGTGCGTGGGGTAGAACTGTCCCCGTAGTCGTACCTTTAGGTATTCCCAGTTGAACCCCGGTTCTTGCCTACAAGCAGGTCCTTCGTGGACCCACCAAAGATCGGTTTCGTGTCTGAAGTAGAATGAGGCTATCTCTACACGGCATCCCTCCGGGCATTCTACGACCTCGAAGATCTTGTCGAAGGTTCGGATCCATTCTTCGAGGGTTGTGGGATCTTCTTCTCCTGAGAAGATAAGCGGGCGATGGCTCAAGACTTGGCGAGCTACATCTGAGTTTCCGTTTGGCGGTGGTGGTGGTCGGTTATTGTTATGGAGGATAGTGTTGCTTAGTGTCTGGGCGACCTGAGTCAGTTTCTGTAGGTTCTGAGCTAGTGATTCGTGGGCAGAGGGTTCAAGGGTCCTTGACTAACTCCTTGTTGACACTATACTGGTGTTCTACAGGGCCAATATTGATTTTAATGGTAAGTTAGGGGTTCGCATCCTTACCTTGATGCTATAATTATGGGGAATCTCTAAGCTAAGCACAGAATTGAGTAAGGAGAAGTTAAGCAGATAATGATAGGTGACTCACAGCCTCACCGCGCATCCAAAGATTCCTAAGTCCAAGGTATTTAAACACCTAGAGTTAAAGCTTAGCATCCTAAAGTCTTAAACTTAGAGTACCATTCTAGCTGCAGCCTAGATTCTTAAAGTCTAACTCTTAACATCCCAAGTATGTGAGTACCTAGGGTTCAAGCTTAATGTCCAAGGTTCTATCCTAAAGGCATTGTCCTAGGGTCGAACTTAGGCTCTGATACCAACTGTAACACCCCTAAATTCTGAGATATTTAAAACTTATAAAATAAAGGCAAATCCATTGATTGAATCCCAAACAGAGCATAAAGCTAACCATAAGTGTCGGGGTGATATGCCACACCTAGGTTTGAGAACCTAGGTGCATAGGCTAAGTTAACTAAGCATAATAAAACCTTAATTCAATATTTCAAATATAATCCCAAGGCACGCAGGCCAACCACTGAGCTAAGGATAATTAAGCTAAGTCCAACGCTCTGACTAGCGCGCTCCGAAGCTAATGCTCATCACCTGAAAAACATTCGGTATAACAACCGTCAGCGAATAATTCTGATAACCCACTCCAACGCGTTAAGTACAATATAGGTAGATATAAGAAACTCATTTTGAAACTGGAATACATATATACTTACGAGACTCTAATTTAAATCCAAGATCAAGACTCAAGACACGTTAACAGACTCAACAGTATACAATAATCATAAAGACTAACATGCGTCCTAAGAACGCAATACAAGGTATAACAGACCGCTAGGCATGTGAAATAGAAATTAGAAGCAACGAAGGTATTCAAGACAGTCAGTTAACAAGTAGTCAACAACGCACATAGTTCATTCTCCAACCTTATACCCAGTTCCAACCATGTAGCTCCCCTCCGTCCTTATATCAGTTCAAACCAATACCTCCAGGCCACCCTTATATCACCACCCCTTATGCCTCCGGGCAACTACATGCCCCCACCGACAAACCACCTATCAACCACCAACATATCAAGATGGTGCCACAGTGCCATTCAACGATCCCCACCTCTAGTGCCACTATAAAGGAGTTAGCGCATATAGCTCTAACATGACACCGCAGCACTTATAACCTGACCAATGCTCAACGGCAAGCTAGTCGAAGGAGGGTGTGTGCCTTTAGCACAGTCACCGCTATGGCCTGTACCTTTAGTACAATGACCGGGCACAAGTGGTGCCAACCGCCAACAATTCATTTCCACCAATCACAATCTCATCATCATCATTATCATTATTATCATCATTAATCACACCGGCCATTGCGCAATGACCACGATATTCATCACCATTCAATCAATTAACACATAATCAAATAACAATCAAGACACAACAACAACGACACGTATTACACATAAATTCCTAGAATGATACCGAAAACACCAAACGAGACTCATATACGACAAATGGGGTACAACGGGACACAACGGAACACAGGGAAACAACAAACGGGGGAAAACATCACGAACCCCGACCTGCGGTCACTCGCCATTCCAGCGGGTAGACCACCGCCCACCGGCTGCCCGCTGGAACAGTGACACAGGCAGCGGATAGATGGCGGTTGGTCAGTCCCCCCACCTACCCCCACTGATACACAGGCAACTTTTGGTCTCGGGATCTCTCGTGGAACCGGAAACCATGTCCAAACACATAATGACGACACCACGTATTCAATTAACGGAATTAAACCAAGAATCACACCAAATACGTCCTAACACGACCTTTAAACATACCAAGACCCAACATAAATCATATAATGGTCCAAGAGCATCCGGGACCACAAGAATATCAAGAAATCTATATGCAAAGTCCTAAATACAAGTCCTAGGCTAGACTCAACACCCGATCATGCATAATCCCACCCAAATATACCAAGAACATCATACTACGAAATTCACGATATAACCCCTAGGGCTCTAGACATAATCAAAATACAAGATCATTCATATAATCAATCATAGATCAAGATTATGTGGTCTAATGGTACCTAGGTTGAACTTCTATTTGGATGGTTTTGAGTTCGAGCCTCAGTGGAGGCGTAAACAAGGCTCTATCAAGACTCAATCACAGAATTACACATACGATTATCAAAGGAGCCAATAAATAAGATATAGCAAGGACAATAGGTTTTGCCTAATCGATATCCTTGGTTACTAAGGTTAGGTTCTTCTTTCTAAGATTTCCCTCCAGTGGATTCCTTTACGTTTGGTGGCAGGAAAATAGGTTTTGTCGAGACATGGGTTACCTCCTAGCCCTAATCGATATCCTTGGTTACTAAGGTTAGGTTCTTCTTTCTAAGATTTCCCTCCAGTGAATTCCTTTACGTTTGGTGGCAGGGGATCCCTTTGTAGGTTTCCCTTCGGGAATATCTTGTGTGGTTGAATTAACTGTGGTAGGTTTATAAATGTTCCTAGGTCCCTATATATAGATTTAGGAGTCCCAACTAGGGTCTGAATGGTAAGGGTCCACTTATCCTATTTCTTATAGGATTAAGGATTTGGTTTAAGGATAAGGGTCCATGGTCCATTGTGGACCACACTAATTAATTGAAGGGAATCCTAACCAATTTTAAACCCTTTTTAATTATTATTAACGGGATTGATTAAATGATTAGTCCGGGATTAAAGGACGTAACACGGGGTGTTACACAAGTGGTGCCAACCGCCAACAATTCATTTCCACCAATCACAACCTCATCATCACCATCATTCATACCGGCCATTGCGCAATGACCACGATACTCATCACCATTCAATCAATCAACACATAATCAATCAATAACAATCAAAACACAACAACAACAACAACGACACATATTACACATAAATTCCCAGAACGATACCCAAAACACCAAACGAGACTCCTACACAACAAACGGGGTACAACGGGACACGGGGAAACAACAAACGGGGAAAAACATCACGAACCACACCCCCTTTCCAGCGGGCGCCCGGCGGGTGGAGGACCACCCGCCAGCCACCCGCCGGCGGCGGTCATACTTTCCTGTGGGTGCCCAGCGGGCGTGGGTTGCCCGCTGGAAAGAAGCTCGGGCAACGGGTAGGTGGCAGGCACCCCTGCCCCCACCTACCCCCCCCCCCCCCCCACTGACTCACAGGCAACTTTCGGTCCCGGGATCTCTCGTGGAGCCCGAAAGCATGTCCAAACACATTCAAACACATAACGACAATACCACGTATTCAATTAACGGGATTAAACCAAGAATTACACCAAATACGTTAACACGATTCCTAAACATGCCAAGGCCAATCATTAATCATATAACGGTTCAAGAGCATCCGGAACCACAAGAATATCAAGAAATCTATATGCAAAGTCCTAAACACAAGTTCTATGCTAGACTCAACACCCGATCATGCATAAACCCACCCAAATATACCAAGAGCACGTTAATACGAAATTAACATTATAAACCCTAGTGCTCTAGACATAATCAAAATACAAGAGCATTCATATAATCAATCATAATATCAAGAACATCAAGGTTATCACATAAACACAATATAAACCCTAAGCAAGGTTCTATCAAGACTCAATCACAGAATTACACATACGATTATCAAAGGAGCCAATGAATAAGATATAGCAAGAAAAATAGGTTTTGTCGAGACATGGGTTACCTCTTAGCCCTAATCAATGTCCTTGGCTACTAAGGTTCTTCTCTAAGATTTCCCCTCCAGTGGGTAAGTGGGTTCCTCTACGTTTGGTGGCGGGGGAGTTCCTTTGTAGGTTTCCCCTTGGGAATATCTTGCGTGGTAGAATTAACTGTGGTAGGGTTTCTAAATGCTTCTTAAGTCCCTATATATAGATTTAGGAGTCCTAACTAGAATCTGAATGGTAAAGGTCCACTTTTCATATTCCTTAACGATCCAGGGACATCCGGAATCACAAGAACATCATGAAATCTATATGCCAAATCCTAAACACAAGTCCTAGGCTAGACTCAACACCCGATCATTTTAGGGGATGGCAATATGCCTCGTCCCCGACGGGGATACCCGATCCCCGCCCCAACGGGGATGGGGATAAGAAAAATTTTCGAGGAACGGGGACGGGGATACCCCTCCCCGCCCGTCCCCGTCCCCGTCCCCGAATAATTAATTAATATATATATACATATATATATATATATATATATATATATATATATATATATATATATATATATATATATATATATATATATATATATATATATAAAGTACTGGCATAATACGAAATCCACGTTATAACCCTAGGGCTCTAGACATAATCAAAATACAATATCATTCATATAATTTATCATAGTATCAAGAACGTCAAGATTATCACATAAGCATCAAGATTAACACATAAACATCAAGATTATCACATAAACACAATATAAACCCTAGGCAAAGCTCT